ATCAGTCATGGTTTACTATTCTCACAGGCTCACAGTCACAATCTCCTTCACTTCAAAAGTTTTTCCTATCATCCGATTTGTCTCCACCAATGCTTACATTGCTGTTGCGTCCAGCAACTTAGATGCCACCATCAATTTAATTGCCACTGCCTGCCTCAGAATAGACTCCACTGCGGACCATATGACTGCAACTTCTTTCTTCTTGCATCACCATTGACTTTCCCTTTTTTATACATCGAAAGGTCACCATTGACTTCTGCCACTGGTGAAGGTTAGCCTCGCTACAGCTGGCTATTCTATCATTACTGCCAATACATTTGATTCCCGCATTCCTGTTACCAGAAGATCTACCTCCACCTACTACTCCAAGCAAGCACTATCCTAGCCAAGGTAGACAATCGATTGCGTCAGATGTGGTTACCTGTGATCAGTAAAGATTACAGTTCACCTTCTCCATCAGTACTGGCAGCACCGCCATCGTTGACAATTATGTCACCCGACTCACCTCAACAGGTACTGGCCTCACACCAACTCCAGTACAGCTGTCCCCACATCCTCTGACACTGCTTGGATATCTTCCACTACTAAGGTTTCTCCTCATTTTACTCATGTTCATAGTTCAAGAAGAAGATATTTTGGTCCAGAATGGAGTTTTTTCCCAGCTTTCCCTTTTAATACTTGCTAGTCTGCTACATGACTGTCCAGATTTCAACATTACAATTGACAAGTGATACCAAATTTTTGGTTATTTGTTTCACAATGATTACATTTTATCATGGAAAAAAAGCTTGACATCCAGTGTTACTCTCCTTCAAGCTTGATGTCCACCAGTGTAATGATCAAGGTTGTCATGGCGTGAAGGGAAGGTTTGGTGCCAGCAAACCACCTTGTTGTTAAGATGACTAGGTAAGCGCCTGGCTGACAGTTGGGCGACAAATAGACGTGTGCATTATTTGAATACAACAACAACAACATCCAAGCCTTAGTCCCAAAAGATATTGGGGTCAGCTAACATGAATCAATACATGATATCACCACCAAAAGGAAAAGAAAGAAAATACAGATAAAAAAGATAATCTATTATAAAAAAGATAATATAAAAAGAGATGAATATACCTAAAAATGATAAAATAAAAAGGATAAAAATAATGTTTATATATATAAGGATAAAAGGATAAAAAACAAGAAAAAAAGATGAGGGGAATAGATAATACGGGATCACTCCACATGAATACCCGCCCTCCACTTTGCTCTCTCCAAAGCCATATCCTCATCCAACCCCAGAAAAAGCATATCACTTCGGACTCCCATAACTCACGTCTGTTTGGGCCTTCCTCTCCCCCTCTTCCCCGCCTCTTCTCCACACATCTCAACTCGTCTGATAGGTGCATCACTCGGTCTTCTACGCACATGATCAAACCACCGTAGGCGCGACTCCCGCATCTTGTCTTCAATAGGTGCTACTCCCACCCTTTGTCTGCTTGTCTAATTCCTCATGTGGTCCTTCCTAGTATGCCCACACATCCAACGCAACATGCGCATCTCTGCCACTCTCGTCTTTTGAATGTGACATTGTTTCACCGCCCAACACTCTACGCCATACAGTAATGCAGACCTAATTGTTGTCCTATAAAATTTACCGTTCAGTCTAGTCGGCACACCTCTATCGCATAGAAATCCTGACGCACTCTTCCACTTCATCCACCCTGTTCTGATTCTATGGGATACTGTAATATGGAATTAGTGTTGTGATTCATGTGATTGACATCTAAAGAAACAGGATAAAAATCATAAAGAAAAAATTAAGTATAACCAAAAGTAAAGAAATGAAGTTGAAGAAAAGGGAATATAGAAAGAGAAAATAAGAAAGAAAATTCAAACCTGGCGGGTTGGACTGCCGGATCAAAATAGATTTGCAAAACATCTATTCTGGGTGCCCTATGAATGCCTAGTTGATGCCTAAGCAATGGCATTCAATGTTTGGCGCTCTTCAGGTGTGGCGACCAGCCATGATGAGTGATCTCCGTCATGAAAACTATGGTAATGGTAAGAATCGTGGCTTATCCTAGGGCTACTTTGATGGAAAGAAGTGGAGTAGAGCGGAAGTAGTCCTATTATTGTTGTTAGTAGTAGAATCAGCTTCCTATTATTGTTATTAATAATAGTTTGCTGTCACCATTGATACTCTATATTGCAAAGCAGTTAATATCCTAGTAGCAAGATTGTACTAGGAGTTAGGACTCTATTTACTTGCTCACCAAGATTTGTGAGCATTACGAGCAAGGGGGTTTAAGTGTTTAACGTCATGAATATCATATAATCCAGTTGGACCTTTGCTTAGTCCATTTAAATTGCTGATTGTTGATTTTTGGGTTGCGAATTTACACAACGTGCTTCTAGAGTTTGAATTTTCACTTTCTTCGTAAATAATTCTTATATATTCTATGTTTATTGAGGTATGTATTTGAATGTAGGATGTTGGAAGCCTTAAAGAGGAAACGTTAGATGCAGAAACAGTAGGCTCCACGACCAATGAGTTCCAGCGTTTTGATTTATTAAGGAGTGAGCTAATAGAGCTTGAGCAGCGAGTTAAAAGAAGTTCTGATTGGAATGAATTTGAAGAGGTCTGTACTTGTGTGAAACGAGCATAATGTTTAAAGCTTTAAAAATAAAAAATAAAGTAATTTGTAAAGAAAAACTACGGTTTCAAAAAAATTTCTTTGAAGTTTTAACTTTTAAGTAACTACATTTTCGTCATATCTCACAAAGATAAGCCCTCTATTTTCTCTTGTATCATAGGCTTTAATTGAATGTGTATTTATACCTGACTGATGATTCATCCATGTTGGCCAAAGCTCTTAAGTGCTCTCTGCTAGGAGTGCTAGCAACATTGTTGTTTATGTGCTTTGTGGTATAAGTGTATAACTATGCATTCTTTTCTTACGAGTATGATCAATTTTCTTTTTAACTCAAATTCAGGACATGCATATGGATGCTGAGGGTGCTCAACTTGTTCATTATCAGAAGAAAGAAAGCATCATCGAAAAATCATTGGAGAAATTAAAAGAAACAAGCACGGTATGAGGATGTCGTATGCTTTTTTATCTCTCATTGAGACTCACTCACTATCCTTGATCATGTACTACCTCCATCCCGGCTTAAAGTTCTCACTAAAAATGGCAGGGTTTTTTAAACAATAATTAAATCAGGCAATCTGAGTATATTTTGAGATGTAGTAGGGTGAGTATAAAATATAATGGAGTAATTGATGATAACTGTGTTGTTCTAGGTGTATTATCTTTAATATTTGAGGATTAAGTTGTCATTTAAGAGTGCTAGTTATTTCCTAAAATAGAAGTAGAGACCTTTAAATGGGATGTCCAAAAGAGGCAAGTGAGAACCTTTAGCTGGGAAATGGAAATGGAGACCTTTAAATGGGATGTCCAAAGGAAATGGAAAGAGTACTATATATCAATAGGTGAAGCACTTGAACACTATTTCCCAATTGCGCTTGCATTTTATAATTAGCTATTAACAAACTTACAGAAGGCTCAACCGGTACTTCAGTAATCAGATGGTTAGTAGTCTTTTGTCTCCGGAAGTCTCCAACAGTCTAATTTTTCCAGAGAATATTGTGTGTGTATAAATGGGCACATTCCGGTCACTGTTTTGGGTTTCAAATTCCATCTCTCAGAAACAATGTCAAAAAAAAGTCTGAGAAACATCCAAACATAAGTTATAACAATGCTTTGCGTGGTCAGGATGTTTGGCAAGGTACTCAGCTTCTTGCTATTGATGCTGCTGCAGCTACTGAGTTGCTAAGGAGGTCCCTAATAGGGGATGAGTTGACTGGGAAAGAAAAACAAGTACTCCGAAGAACTTTAGCAGATTTGGCATCTGTCGTTCCGATTAGTTTTCTTATGCTTCTTCCTGTAAGTGTATTCCATGTGTTGTTTAACTTAGAACTCTTAGAACTGATTGTAGTAATTCATGTTTGGATTGTCAAAAAAGAATAAACATTCAGACATTCTATTTTCCATTTCTAATAAAAGCAGCTTTCTTTTTGCCATAACATACCAGATCTGTGTACTGTTTGGAGTTGATGTTTAGACTGACTTGTGCTCATCACCATCATTATCAGCACCTTAATCCCAATATCTTGGGTTGGTGGCATGACATTTAGCGTCAATTACTTGTCTACAGTTACTGAACATTATAAATTGATGCAAAAAGAAGTGGTCAAGCTTTAAGCAATATTCCTGTCATAAGTCATAACCTTCTGTTAAAAGTTTTTTTTTGTTTGTTGCAACGAAGCAGTATTTTCATTGTCTTATAATAAGACATATTCTCTTACATTCTCTATTTCCCTCCCAGAAGATTAAATGCTCAATTAGTGTAAAGCTGATGTGTGGAAATATACATTTGCAGGTCACTGCAGTTGGGCATGCAGCCATGTTGGCTGCGATACAGAGATATGTACCGGCATTGGTAAGGCTTTTGCCAACTCTATACTATTCTTTTGATAACTTTATCAAGCTTAAGATTTTGTAACCCTTCCTGTCAGATTCCTTCTACGTATGGCCCTGAAAGGCTAGCCCTACTTAGGCAGCTCGAAAAAATGAAAGAAATGAAAGCTGAAGTGGATCCAAGTGAGAAGCCTAAGGAGTAGCCAGAGTTAGAAAGATATGCTGCACAGATTCAGTCCATCATAGTTCTGAACCCTTTAAACAAGAGATGTGCATAAATAAGTTCGTTCCAACTGTCTGGCACCCCAGGCAGGCACCAATGGCTGCAGTCTTGTGGGGAATCTGCTGGCGTGCCCGGTTCCCTGTGGTTTGAAGGGTGCCCATCTTTTCTTATCTCAGTCATATAAGTGATGTTCAAGAAGGAAACATTTCTGCCCATTTCTTTCATTTGTTTGACGATGTCCGAAATATAGATATTGTTGATTGGGTCTCCCTCCAGATTACTGCGGTCTGTTTCTGGTGCTGTGCTTGTATGACAGTAACCTCCTAATTTCCACGTTCCATTCCTGCATTTTGGCTTCTTATAACCATTCATACTGAGATTTATCATTCGTTCACTAACAATGCTATTACTTTGTCACTTGCCTGTAATGCACTGGGGAATAGCTGCGAAAGATGACATGAGTCCTGGGTTTCAGATTCTGTGTTACCCAGGAAGCCAACGTTTTCAAGGATCTGTGGAAAGCCTCTTTGACATGCATGGTCATGTTCACAGCCTCACCTTCCTGGAAATATATTCCCCTGAAATTCAAGAAAATGAGACTTGTTGGTTTATGTTTTTCTTACTACGTACTTTTTATCACCATGCTCTATAAAGCACTAGACGTCCCTTGGGCTGTAGACTGGGACCTAGGCTCTAGACTGGGAGCCACTTTATTCTGGTTATCAACTTTATCAATTAGGTTCTTGAACCGACACCAATTTATTTTTCTAAAGTTGCTCAAACTACTGAAAGATATATTTTTTGTCTGTCTATTTCATAGCTATATATTTGTTTATTTTGTGATCAAAATCTATCTCAAATGTTCTTTTATAGCATTCAACATCATCATTGTCATTCATAATATTGTCATCAAATATTTGTTTATTTTGTGATCAAAATCTTATCAACTTCGAGAAATTCAAGATAAAATTTGCTCTTACTAAATGGGATCTTAAATGGACCTGAAATGAAAAAAATCTTTGAGGATAAAAGGATGTTGCAATGTTGGGATTTTTAAAAACATTGCTGATCACATTGGGGCAGGCTGTGGCCTGTGGACCTGGTTCTTGAACCAGATTAGGATAAGCCGGTGGCTTGTTCAGAAATGAAAATGGTTCTCTAGCTGCAGACCTAAGCCGTTACTAAGAAGTGTATAAACCAGTCAAACCGGTTCTGACTCCAAGCTACGACTGGAGTCACAGGACCAGTCTTGCTTGCTGCTCTAGTCCATGGTTCAAAATAGGCAGAATATCAGTCTGGTACTGGACTAGGACTAACTACACGTCTACACTCTGTTTCTGTTGTCCATCCCTAATTCCTTGAATTGCATGATCTTAGTTGAGAGTAGTTGCTTACATCTTAGTGGTTTTATCATCGTTCCACCAATGACCTGCACTAAATATGATGACATCTGCACCAACCCACTTTGCTGCAAACCAGTGAAGCTTGTCAAGTCGAACCACACCCTTCACTTCCTTTGGTGCATTGACCGGTGGTCGGTCAAGGGTTACAAGGAATGGGTCCCGATAGTACTCGACAGTGAGGTTGAATTCTTGAAATCGCATCGAGAGATAGCCTCGGTGTTTGCTTATGGGGTTACCGGATTCCTCGTAAATGCTGGATTTATTATTAACACCTTGTGCTAACATGCACAAGAAAGATTCCCATTGGTTTCTAGCTATGGAATCACCGGCAAAAACTATTCTGCTGTTCCGGATCCGTTCTAAAAGTTCACTTGCATTAAACCTGCATAAATATTAAAAAATAATGAATAGTACAGGGTGAATTGTGAATTGTGAAGAGTAAAGTGCAATTACAGAGTGAAGTGCACATAGAATGTTTCAGACATATGGAAGAAATCGTGAAATGAAAGTGCAATTACGGATGATGTACTTTACCCTCAAACTTATATGATATTTTCTTTAATAAACACAACAATGTTGGTGTCTATCTGAGTTATGATGTTTTCAATTTGGATTGATATTTTCTTGTCTGGTCTGATTTGGTTTGGTCTAAACGGGCCAGTCGGAAAATTTTCTGATCTCTATGTATTTTATAACTATCCAAATCTTGTCTGGTCTAGTCTAATATGATATGGGACTAAAAACATTTCAAATAAAAACATCCTTAGAATCAGAGGTAAATGACGCTCTTATTCCTTTTTATAAAGGGAAGCCCGGTGTACGAAGACATCTTTGCAAGGTGAGAGTTTGGAGAAGGGTCATTAGAAGGGTGTATAAAACGAAAATCTTTCTTATCAAAATTTTGATAAGAATCCTGTCAAATTTTCGGCGAGACATGGGAACCGTGACCTTTCAACCACACAACACTATAACCGGTGCGTCACAGCTCACCTTCCTCTTATTCCTTTTTAATGACTATGCAATTTTTTAAACAAATACGTAGTACATGACTACGTAGTGTGTAGTTACGTATTTAAACATGAAAAGGTAAACATAATAATTCATTTTATATTAAATTTTCAGTTAAAATTCTTCCTTCTTAGGTAAAATTAAAAATTTATCTACACTATTTCTTCAACCAATTGTTATGGGAAGTGTTCCACCATAACGTGCTTTGACTGGTTTCCCACTTTCCCCTATCTATGGCAATGGTTTAGGGTAATTGAAGTGTGAGTGTTATTGAAGCATGGAATCTGGCGTATAGCCGCAATTGAAGGATCAATTTGCGTCGGGCTTTTCAAGAGAACAATCTTAGGTGTCATGGGTCAAGTTCGTGTCGGCAACGTTAAACCCATAATCATTAAGCCAAGCCAACTTTGTCCCAAAAGTATTCAAAACTACACACAAAAACAGCAAACAGTTAATAACTTAATACGACTATTCCCCCACTTCATTCATCACTTCAACAAACAAACAAAAAAGAACTAGTTTCATACCTATCCCAAATTCATTTCATTTCTAAAAGAAACCTATAACGAAAGCTTATTCGATCAAGTGAGTTCTTCTATCCAACTCACCGGGGTGGAGACAGGGAGAGGCTGAAGGGAGTCTCGGCTCCCCCACGAGAAAAGTGTGTCGATGTTTTAAGTTTTGACTCGGACGATGTAAAAGCTTCCCCCAACCCCAACCATAGATTCCTGACTCTGCCATTACCCATTCCAACATTTTCTCATGACAACGAGTCAACGACACTGTTCGATTAAGATGCATCCATCATCGATGATTTGACTAAAACTACAGTTAAGGACACATTCTCACATGCCATGCAAAAAAGAATGTAATGGCATTTAAAAATGATGAGTGATAAGCTAAAAACTATCAGCTAACCAGGGAGGCTTACCTTGGAAGATCACAACCATATGGTTTCCACCTCCAATTCTGATAGCCTAAATCGAGGCGGCCGTTGGCATGGCAGCGGAACCCGGGATCCAAGAACGAGCAGTTCTCTGTGTACTTTTCCCGGGAATAGCTTTCATCCCACACCCATTCTCCATAAGAATAGTCACAAGTTGAAGATTTTGGGAACAGGTCTTGGGTTCTTGGCGGTGTGGGTATGATCTTGGACAAGAAGCCGATTTGATCGAGAAGATGGGATTGAGGTGTAAGGAGATGGTAGACTATGATGGAAGTGAAGAAGAATAGAGAAAGGAGTGCTTGGGAGGTCTTTTTCTTTGTGGTTGTGATGAAGGTTGGGAAAGTGAAAAAGTGGGGAATTGGCATTGAGGAGGAAGAAGAAGAAGGGTTGTGATGATCCATGATAAGTGGCAGATGGGTTAAAGCTTGAATGGGTGGCACGTTTATGCGGACATAACTTCTCTACCTTCCTCGTCTCAAAACACACGCACGCCATTTCTCTTTCATCTCACCCGTTTCTTAAGTTTTTAAGAGGAGACAATCCTCTGTTATTAATACTTATGAATAGGCCGAATGATTCAAGTACGAGATTTTTTTTTTGATGATTTCAAGCACGAGATCTAGAAAATACGGAGTAGTAAACGACCTTAAATAGGTTATTACATTATATAATTTATATCAAATCAAACTTAAATAGAGCAAAGACTTGGATATTTTTACTTATAGTTATTTCAGTCCCAAGCTTGGACATAAACGCATCAGATCACACCAAACTTAAACACATCATATAACACCAGACGTCAACAGTTATAAAATGCGCAAAGATTAATCATTTGACAGATCAGTTTGGACCAGACTAGGCATAAACCGACGAGACGAGACCATATTGGACCAAACCTGAATTTTTTTGTCCAATTATGAACATTCTTAGACAATAACAAAACACAAACGAAGTATATAAATATATATGAAGTGAGGAATGATCCTGTCCAGCCGGAGTGACATGATCCTCCGTCCGGCTGCCGCCGTTTGAGGCGGTTCTAGGCAGAATTTTTTGGTGAAATTTTTTGAGCATGTTCCTCATTTACACCGGGAACTTTCCCAAACGGCGGCGGTCGGACGAAGGATCCTATTCCTTCGACTGGACAAGATTTTTTCCGTATATGAAGTACTCCGTATCATATAATTGTCAAATTAGACCCAGAAATTTTAAACACAATCGATCGGACAAGAAATTTAAGTCTTCGACATTCGTTAAAACATCAAAGTTAAAACAATTTAAAATATAACAAAAAATCAGAACAAAAGTAATTGTGTTTTGTTGGTTGTTAGGAGTTTTAGGTTCTTGTTGATCGTCTTTGACGTTTGTCTAATGTCTCACATATCCTTATGCATGTGAGTTATCATTAACTACGTTTTTCGATTGATTCTGATTGCAAATATTTAGAACTTTCCTTTCATTCATAATTCATACGACCGATATCTAGTTAGTTTCTTTTTCCCATCAATATTCTCTGTTTTCATTAATCTTCTTTCCTTTTGAACACTCACTACAATCGTGTGATATTTATTTCCATAGATTCATTAATCTTTATTAATTATTCTTCATTTTAGTCTTTTATTGTACGAATCCTTCCCAATTTGTCTAATACGTTTCAATCTTCTTCTCTGGAATGGTTGTTGATTACTTATTAGGATTTTCAATAATTTTTCTTATCTTGAAGGGTCGACGAACGGTGTATCATTTTTTTTTCCTTAATTTTTTTTATGTATATAAATCTTTCCATTTTCCCCTTTATTCCATTTTGTTAATGTTTAAATGTAGTACGTAGTATAATTGCTTTTTAGCATAATGGGCGTGTTTGGCATTTAGCGGATAGCGGATTATGTTAACATGTTGTTAATAGCGGATTCAATCAGCGGGTTTGACCAGCGAAATAAAATTGGCGAGTTTTCAGAAAATGTTTGGTAATTTAGCTATTTGGCCATAAAATTAATACAAAACCTCATTTTTCAAAACGCTAACCCAAAACTCTCTCATTTGCAGCGTTTTCATTTCAGCGGTTCCGTCCAAAAACGCTAGTGCCGAACCGCTATTTACCAAACATCGTTTTCACTCATCGAAAACGTCAAAAGTGGTCAAACCGCCATTTTTTGGCTGAAACGTCATTTACCAAACACCCCCAATGTAACTCATATGTTTGAATTTTTGGTCCGTTTCTGAAGAGCCGCAAGTTTCCGTACAGTTTCCGTACAGTTTGGGCCGTACGGATGTGGGTCGCACGCGTCCTAGTTATTTTAGGGGTTATGTTTTACTCTATGAATACAAACTCTCTCCCATGTAATCACTTGATCCGAAATATTAATAACATTCCTAGCTTGGTAGCGCCCCCAGACGTAGTCTTTTGTGGCGAATTGGGTTACCAAATTTCGTGTGTTCTTTCTTATTGTTTTTCGTGTTGCGTGAGTTAATTCATAACATGAATTCAGCCCCCGTATACACACAGACTTCATTAGACATACATTTTGTATACATACATACTTCATGAATTTTCTGCAATTCATTAGTTTAACCGATTTAGATCACGTACAGGTTTCAATACCTAGTTAAGAATTTCAATCTTTACAGTTCTATTCTATGTCGAAAATTTTGATTTTAATTTGATTCTTGTTATAATTAATAGCAAGCGTTAATTGTCATTATTCTTCGTACCTTCTGCCTTCTTTTCGAAATAATGACATTATAGTTGATCATCTTACTCATTTGTTGATTAACTATAAAGATCATCTTACCATTCCACAAGATTTGGTTGATGTTTACTTAGCACGTTGAACAACAAAGTAAAAACAACGTCATTGAAATAAAAACTTTCACTACATACTAATTTCGTTCTCTTTTAATTGCAACATTGGACTTTTTAACTATTCACATATGGGTTGTTTGGCAAATGTCCGTTGGTTGTTAGCTGTTGGCTGATTATGTTGATTGATTGCTAACAACGGAGTTTGTTGGCTGTTTTGATCAGCTGATAGTATTAGCAGTTTGTAAAATGGTGTTTGGTTAAATAGTTGTTTATAATCAGCTGATAACTTTTTAAATGACTTTTAAGACATCAATTAATATTTTATTTACTAACTACTTTTATATACGTATTATAAATTTTGTTAATGTTATTTGCATTAAACAAATATTATAAGTTTCTTTCTTTAAAAAGATGTTGTTTGCATGACTAGCCATAACCGTTTTTATGATTTACAAAAACTAAAAATATTATCGATCAGAAGCAATGAATCTTTTACACATAATTTTTAATGAATTAGCAAAACCCAATATCTGTAGGAGCCGTTGTGATAAAAAGCAAAAGAAAAAGAAACAGATTTAGGAGCAACCCATTTGATGAATTAACACAGACTTGTATATATGAATTGACAACAACGTTGTTTGTGTCCATATGAAGTAATTAACGAAACAACTACATCACTAAATTGAAAGAGGTAAAAAGAAGAATTGATTCAAGGAGTACAAGTGTACAACGGAGAATTATCGAATATGGGTAGATTACGAAAATTAGGGGAGAAACTAAATCGGCCCCAAAAGTTTAACTTTTATGGCTTTTAAAATTTTGGCTGTTTAGATTAAAAGCTAAATAAAAAAGGCATGTAACCAGACACCGATATTAGCTGATTCATTTGATCAAAATGTCAAATATTGACAGAGGACTCTCTCGTCTCTCTCTAGGGTTGCTACAAGGTAATCACTAGCTTCGATTTGTCCGCCATCGGCCATTTCCGAGGAGCAGGGCTGGCTTTTCCGGCCAATTGTTGGAATTGGAGAGTCTTCTATCTAGCGATCATCTCCCTACGAGTTAGGGTTTCGTTTCTTCCACTTTTAACATCGACGAAGAGCGGCCGTCGGTCGATTTCAGTCATGCAAGCAGGCTCGAGATCAAGGATGCAACGCTTTGGCGGCCAGGGCTCGACTTCTGCTGTTGTTTCTGATTGAAGGTCGAGTGTTGACAAAGAAAAGGTGGATAAGCTGTGGCGGAGTATGGTTTCGATTCAGCAGCAAAGGATGTCAAAGGAGGATATCGTCAATCAATACAAAAGCATGACTATTGAGGCGGATGAGCGGCGGACGCTTCCCCATCCTGAGCCGCCACCATGGAGTGCAAGCAAGTCTAGGGTTTGGAAGAAGATGAGTGGACTCTGTTTTAATTTCGTTTTATTGTGTTTGTGTTTTTCTTTCGAATTGCATGTTGTTTTGGACGTGTTCTTATTTCCTAGCAGAGAGATTCTAGAATTTAAGCCAGGTAATGAGAAGTCTGGTTTCCCATTCATTGGCTTAGTTAAGCCCATTACAGGATCAACGAATATTATTGCTTCTACAGAGGTGATATATTCTAAGTCTGGTTCGAGGGCGGACGACAGACATAAGACTTTTTATCGCTTTATTTACTTCTTTTTCTTTGATTGTATAATCAGCCATGTGACAGACGTTATTTTGATTTAATATATTTGTTAGATTTGATGATAAAAAAAGTCAAATATTGGTCAAAATAGTCAAAAAATGACTGATAGGCCATTAACCAAACACTCCTATATGGACTTTGACTATATTTTACGTATTAATGTATTATAATTTAAATTTTTAAAAAAATATTGTTAAATTCTTCTCATTTTAAATTTTCAGAATCTGAATTTTTAATTTTTTAACTAATAAGGAATGAAAGATATTTATGGTCAAACTTGTGCGAAAGCAAACATGAAATATCGACCGTTGCAATTAAAAAAGAACGGATGAAGTATATGCTACGTATTACTTAAATAGAATAAATAATTTTTTGAACAGACCAAATTAAACTATATCAGACCAGATGTAAATAGACCATACTAGTAAATTTCAATCTAAATAAAAACATCCTAAATTCGAAAATGTCCATGCTAAATTGAAGAATGTGTCAAATGCCTAACACATTTCGGGTACACTAAGTATATATAATCCTCCAAGAAATGAATTGAGCGCTTCAAAGAAAGTATTGTAAAACATAAACTAGGCAAGTAGGCAGGATTGAGTCCCCTGGCACGAGAAGATCGACGGCGGCAGCCCAAGTTAGCCCACCAGCTAGGCAGCTAGCCGTTGTTTGAGGGAAAGGAGGTTCCCTGAAATCAGGGGCGGAGCCAGACTTTGATATAGGGGCAGAATATAATACATGCAATAAAATATGAAAATAGCATAGTAACATAAGACGATACGATACACAAACATTTAGTTATTATAATAATATTACAATATCAAATAGAAAACGCATTTAAATTAAGAACGTCTTTTTCGCATTTCACGAATCTCAGGATTCAAAGTATCGGTGTTTAGTGAAAGACTAGGGTGAGATTTTGAACTTTGAGAATCCTTAGATCCTTACTTTTAAAGAGTACATGAATAATTTATGCCTTTTCATTGATTCAAAAAAAAGTGACATCAATATGTTATAGTCAAAACTAGTAAAGACTAAAATGCTAGGTAAACACAATAGAGAATAAATAGTCACATAATCACTTAATTAACACTATCCACCAAAGTTAAATATATCA